CGTCAAACTGCCTTGAGAAGCAGCTGTGAGTAGACCAACGGCAGTATACACGCCTGGAATTTGATCCGCTTCACATCTCCAATATCTACCGTCAAGGTATGTATCTCCGTCCTATCATGTCCTTCTTCCTGTGCATGCCTGGCGAACATCATGTTTGCATAGTGGGTATATGCCCCGCTCATTCACCAACTCTACCGCCTATCTTTGCCGTTTGCCTTTACCTCTGCCTTTACCTGCCTCACCCTTAATACCCCGCCCCTTACCGCCTCTTCTAAAGATGTCATCGCTAACACGTGGCACGTTCCGCTTCACAGGTGAAGGAGACTTATAGACACACTGCCAGCCTAGACGTTACATTTTCTTGCACACCTAGTCACAAGAAGAAGCATCTACACTGTGCATCACATACATCTCCAGTGTGCAGGTAGTGTGCATCAAGACACTCCCCTATTCATCGACCATCTCCATTTCTTCTAGACTTCAAGGTTCGTCTGCCAATTGTTCTGATGTCTTCAAGGACGTTGCTAATGTATCTGAGGAAGACCATTCATCATGAGTTCCAACACATACAAGGGCGGTCTGTCTGTTGGCGGCTCGGCTCTCGACAAGTCGAAGTTGCAACTGCGTCGTCCAACCCCTGATAGCGATGTCTTGGCGTCCAGCGACGATGACCGAGAGCACGTGGCAGTGCCCGTTCGACATGCACCTGGTACATACCCCCTTGCAGTTCGTCGTCCTTCCTCTGGTTGGCTGCAGGATATACAGCCAAACCGGAAGTTCTCGCTCCCTTCTGTGTCGTTTGCCGGCTCGCAGCCAACCACGCCGTCTCTCGAGCTTCCCCAACAGTCACGGCCCAGCACTTCATCATTCCCCTGGAATACCCCGAGCTTCAGCGGCTTAGTCAACAACCGTTCGAAGAACGAGATTGCTCCTTCCCCCACCTCTGCTTTTCCCCCCACCGACAACAAGCCCATTCCCTCTCCCACAACCATTGAAGGCGACGACGGCAACGGCATTGGTTTTCTGCTTAACCAGCAAGCACCAAATCCCTTCCGCAAGGCCGTCCGATCCCAATCCTATAGCATAGGACAAGGTGACATCGAGCACAGTCCTGTCAGCCGTTTCTCGCGCAATCCTAACACTAGTGCCAATCTTCGTCATCGCCCGTCCAAACCGAGCCTTCTTGGTGAGTCTGCTGTCGGCCTTTCGCAGCTGCGTGAAGACGAAGCCGACGAGATCGAGTCGTCCAACGGCTCAGAACACGGAGTCCGTCTGCCTGCCGGTTACTGGGAACGTGAACAGAAGCAAGCCTTACTCAAACAAGCCGCGATGGAGAACGCACGCGCTCGCAACCGGGCTACCTCTACTGGCTCTCCTGTCAAGCAGATGCAACAGCAACGCCGCCAGACTACTGCCGGTCTGCGCAACACCTCATACAACATCGCTGGGGAGTATGCCATCGAAGAGCTTGACGACGCTGAGCCTCCGATTAACCGACCTGCCCCGGGCCTTACTCGCCGCTTCAGTGAGCACGTCGGTGTTCTGACCCGCGATCACGAAGTCGAGATTGTCGACAGCCCTCAGAAGCCGCAGTGGACTACAGGCAACATCTCACCTGCTGAGATGGATCCCCTCGGCCGTCGCCACTCGTTCGCTCACTACGGCAGCTACAATTCTGCCATGCCTCTGTCGACCTTGAGCAACACCCAGGAAGAGGAAGAAGAGTACGTGTCGCCTCGCCAGACCCCGCTCAACAAGGACGACGAGCCCTTCGACGCGTCTGCCTACTTCACCGGCTACGGCCCTGCATCGCGCGCCATCAACTCCTCTGCCATCTCGGCAGCTCACCCAGACCCGGTCGTCCCCAACCCCGCCATGTCTGCCAACCCCTACGCCGTTCCTCCGAGAATTGGTAATCCCACCCGCCGCTTGTTCATTGTCACCTTCAAGTGCTCGCGTGCCGATATCTATTACCTTTACGATAACACCGGTCTCGAGATCCGCCGTGGAGACCTTGTCATTACTGAGGGCGACCGCGGATGCGATCTGGGTCAGATCACCCATGCCGACTTGACCATGGAGGAGGCTAAGAAGCTCAAGGCTGAGGCGAACGAGGAGCACTTCCGCTGGCTCGTCATGTTCTCACAGTACTCCCTGGCCGGCACTCAGAACGACTCTGGTATGTTGGGCGCGCTTGCGCGTGCTAATGGCTTTCCCAACCCCATGAGCCGTACTCCAGTGACTGCTTCAGGTGAGCCTGAGCCGTTCAAGCCCAAGATGATCAAGCGCCTTGCCCAGGCTCACGAGATCTCTGCGCTTCGTGAGAAGGAGGGTGGAGAGGCTAAAGCCAAGCGACTTGGAGCTCAGAAGGCTGCCGATCACAAGCTGCCTATGGAGATCCTCGACGCTGAGTATCAGGCGTAAGTCAATCACTTCCATGTTCTCATCAACCTCATACTAACACATCCAGTGATTATCACAAGTTGACTTACTTCTACTACGCTGAGTCGTATGTCAACTTCAACGAGCTCGTCACCGACCTGTTCAAGCAGTACAAGGTGCGCATCTGGATGTCGGCTGTCAATCCCGCATCCGTTATCAACCCTGCCGGCGGTGCTCAAATTCCACCCCCTTCGGCCATCGGACCTGGTGCCATCATCAAGAACAGCAATCAAAACGCCCCTCCCTCTGTTGGCCCAGGCTTTGGCAACAACACGCATCACACTGCGCAGCAGTACGGTAAGTTCACCTTCGCCTCCTGGCTGTAATATCGTGTCACTAACTGTTCATCAGGTCAAGGTCAAGCGCGCAACCATGGCAACTATGGCAACTACGATGATGGCTTCCATGCATTCTCTCACCAGATCCCTGCATACCCCACCCAGCCGTCCTACAACATGCAGCAGACATGGGCTCATGGACAGCAGATGGGTCGCCAGCAAATGTATCCGGGCTACTACCCCAACGTCACCGCAAGCGGCAGCCCCATGAACTATGGAGGCGGAGGATACTATCCACCATCGACCTACGCTTCGTCCTATGGAGGAGGCTATGGGACTGCTACAACCACCGCAGGATACGCTGCTTCCCGTAGCTACACATCCAATACTGGTCAGTCTTTCGGTGTCCAGCAGCCCTCTTCGTACACCTCTGGCGCGGGCTACGCCAATGCCTATGGCAACGCCTCATACACTTCAGGTGCTCCTGGCGGCTACTACGGCACATCAGGTGGACACGGTAATGGCAACCCTGGCGCCTACAACGGTGCCAACACTGCTACTTCTGGAGGTCGCCCTACCACTGGCACTGACCCTGCCCTGCTGAGTGGCATGCAGAACATGTCATTCGGTAACTAGGAGATCTTGGTGAACTCTAAGATGAGAGAGGTTTCGGGATTTTCTTTCGGTTTTTTTGATCATTGTGCGCTATTTTCTTTTCACTTCTTCATCATATCTCATGATTCCACGGTTGCTTGCTTTCACTTACCCAAAAAATTCCCCATGATGCGTGTAGTCTAGTCGGATATATGTCATATGGCGAAATCAGAATGCTTTGGCACCAATGTGTTTTTTCATGAGTGAATGTGTTGGTATCCGTCAGGCCTAGATATCAGTGTGATGTTACCGCTGGCAGAAACCCTAAGGATCTCCTGGCCTAGTTATCACAAATTTTCTAAAGGCTGGAAGTTTGTTAAAGGTCTCCAGGCTGTACCTGAACACTTATAGTCTGGTAGTTTGCGCATTCCCTGACAACCTCCTGGACTAATTTTCGATTTTCGTCTGAAGCTTGGAAATGGTGTGAAGACCTACAGGCGTCAACAGCTCCTTCCTCCCACCTCACTCATTTCAACCATGGCACGACGACGTGCCACATCTCCTGCGCCCGAAAGCCAACAGGTGCTCGCACGCAGTCGCGTTCTCGAGAAGCCAAAGAACAGTGGCGTAGATGTGCAACACTTCCGCGCAACGATAGTGGAGAACCAGAAGAAGCTTAACGGACTGATTGCAAAGCGGAAGCTCCAAGCGTAAGACAAAGCCTCGAATATTTACAGGAGCTACTATGTCTTTGGTTCGACTACTAACAGCTGTTATAGCAACAAGCAAGAGCAACGCCACCGCGATGAACTCGCAGCCACCATTCTCGAAGCCCTGCGAACCCCGAATCAAACCGTGAAAAATGAGACAGCAAACTTCAAAGGCACCCGCATCGCTGGAAACCCAGTCTACACCTCCGTCACCACCATTCTGACGGCGTCCTCAGGCCTCGTGAACGAATACCGAAGGCTAGACGACATGATTACGAAATTACGAAACGAGCAGCCTGCAACTCTGGCAGACACTTGGAAGCATGATGTCGAGGATACAGATCGGCAGCTCAGGAGGGGAGCTCGCGTTGCATTGAGAAATATGAAGAAGATGCTGGGTGCTGATGTAGAGGATGTTGTAATGGGTGAGACGGATGAAGATGGGGACGTGGAGATGGAGGGTGGAGAGGAGGTTGAGCTTAACTACGAGTTGAGGAAGAGTTTAAGGTATGCGGAGAGGGATGTTAAGAGGATGGTGAAGGGGTTGCCCGTGGGCGATGGATGTTAGGCATAGGTGACGCTGTGCTATAATGTTCGAGGTAGTATGTGGATGGGCAAAACGAATGCGCACTTCTCTCAGACACAGGTATTCGCATTAGGCCCAAGTGGCGTAGCATGTACAACAATAAGTACAGGCTCCGACTCAATGGCTCTCGTCCTCCTCTTCTCTTCGCTCGTAACTGAAGAACAATGTGTACACAATCTCAATTATCGTGTTCGCATCTTCTCAGGTCCGTGTCATGCTCTGCCGAGAGTCGCCCATACGATTTTGTGGGCGACTCATGTCGGTCTAGCGCGATGCCTCGTCAAGTTAGCGTGTAGCACAGGCCACCCGCCCACAGAACCGAAATCAATATCGAATCTTTTCGCAACCTCAAGCACGACAGCGTCGACAATCTACTAACCAACAGTCAAGATGGGTGCCCTCAAGTATGTCGAAGAACTTCAGAAGAAGAAGCAGTCGGACATGATGCGCTTCTTGATGCGCGTTCGCGTACGTATTCTACCACAATTGTGCTGGGACAGAGAACTCTGCTAACATTGCGACAGTGCTGGGAGGTATGAACATCCTGAGACTCAGTCTCAATTGATGTACTCGTTGAACATTGCTGAGAGTGCATCGATAGCTTCGCCAACTTAAGGTCATCCACCGCGCAAGCCGCCCCTCGCGCCCCGACAAGGCCCGCCGTCTCGGATACAAGGCCAAGCAGGGTTACGTTATCTACCGCATCCGCGTCCGCCGTGGAGGTCGCAAGAGGCAGGCTCCCAAGTAGGTGCTTCACAATCTGAGAGAAGGGAAGAATGCTAACATGTGGTTTCTAGGGGCGCCACCTACGGTACGCAGCACGCAGTCGATTTGATGTGGGGAACAAAAAACTGACAACTGAACAGGAAAGCCTACCAACCAGGGTATCAACCAGCTCAAGTACCAGCGCTCCCTCAAGTCCACCGCTGAGGAGCGTATCGGCCGTCGCTGCGCCAACCTCCGCGTCCTCAACTCCTACTGGATCAACCAGGACTCCACCTACAAGTACTACGAGGTCATCTGCGTCGACCCCCAGCACAAGGCCATCCGCCGCGACCCTCGCATCAACTGGATCGTCAAGCCCGTCCACAAGCACCGCGAGGCTCGTGGTCTCACCGCCACCGGCAAGAAGAGCCGTGGTCTCGGCCGTGGACACAAGTTCAACAACACCAGCGCTGGCCGAAGGAAGACCTGGAAGAGGCACAACACCCTCTCCCTCTGGCGCTACCGTTAAATGCATTGAGCATGTGGTGTGCTTGGTGCAACGTCTGGTCGATTGTTTTCAGCGTATGGGCTGGCGTGAATGGAATAGGGTATCCTGGGCTACATAGCATAGCTTCCGAGCGGCATAAAAGCTGTCAGGACTTTCAAAATCAATACCATGGATTCATGATCTTTACGAAGACAATACTTAAGCTCTGTATATTGATGAGGTGTTTGTATGCCGGATGTGAAGAGACTGTTCCGTAAAGAGACACGGCACTAAGCTCAAATCTGGCGAGTATGCCTTGGTTGGTTGTAGCCAAGAGAAGATACATGGACTTTCACATGGGTAGCTGACCGGTACCGGTAAGACAGCTGCACCATCGACGTCAGATGTGATGCCAAAGCAAGCTGTGTGCGCCCATATCTACTGTGACATTCAACGTGCATGCTAGAATAGAAGTGCGATATAAAGAGTCTTGGAGAGGCCAGAAGGTGATCAGCTAGGGTGTTGCTAGCAGGCTGTGGCAAGCGTTGCCTGGGATAAGGCCGACTGTAATCAGAACTAAGCGGCCCCTCTCGAGCCAAAACACAGCCCAACCCATAACACATGCAGCACCTGGACGCCAGCGCAACAAGCGGCCAAAGCTCCAATAGACGCAAAGGGTACACACACCTCTCTGCAACACTGACGACATGCGGCTGACGAGCTGAGTATCCAGACTTTTGCTGTCATCGTACTGTTGTTCCACTTCCGATACACAATGTCCCGACGTCCACGCGCGCGACCGAGCATCATCATCTGAGCAGCACTGCCCTGCGACCAAGCAAGGCAGTGAAAGGGCGACACCCACCAGGCTGTTTGACGACTACAGCTGCCTACAAGAGTAGGGCGGGCGCACTGTGCAAAAACCTGCTTGCCTCACCTCTCCAATCCCGCCGCAAACACCGCCGCCATGGTCATCAAAGCCGATCCCTCGCGAAACTACTATGCCGACCTAAAGGTCCCCGCCAACGCCAGCGAAAACGAGATCCGCAAGGCCTTCCGGACGTTGGCGCTGCAGTACCACCCAGACCGAAACCCTGGACGCGAAGCCGAGTTCGTCATTCGCTTCCAAGAAATCCAGGCCGCCCACGAGATACTGTGCGATGCACCTTCGCGAGCAAAGTACGACTCCGACAGAAGGAAACATCGCAATACCTCAGCTCCTGGTAACACACCGAACCAAACGAGAACGAGGCCACCGCCGCCCCCACGGAACGCATACTCTACTACCGCCCCTCAGGGAACCTACTATCGTGCTCCTCCTCCGAAACCTCAGCCTCAGCCTCAAGCACAGCGACCGCAACCACAACACCACAGCACATACAACAACGGTGCGGACAGATTCACCAACAGGAACTTCCGCCCGCCACCAACGGCGCAACGACCAGACGCAAAGGCAAGAGATGCCGAGGCTCGGGCCAATGTCTTTACAGCATGGCAGAAGATGAAGCAGCCGCGGGGCGAGGACCCTCGGCAACACAACCCAAGTGCTCAAAGTAGTTCGCAGAGCAACCCGCAGAACAATCCCAACGGCACTCCCTTCGGGCGCAGTCAGAGTACAAGAGTCCCTTCCTCCAAAACAGGATTTGACCCCTCAACACCAGGCGTCGATGAAGGCCAGGCACGGTCAGCGTATAGGAACTATGCCCGTCCGGCTCCAACACCACCCACGTCTACAACCCCTTCAAAAGACAGCCAAGCCGACGATGCCCCATTCTCCGAAGCAAACCGCGTTCGCACACCATACTACTCTCATGTAGCCGGCGAGCGCACTTCCATGTTTGAAGGAATCGGAAGGTCCTCTAGTGTGCGGAACTCACCAACTCATTCGAACAGAGCAAGCCATTCGACAGACGCTGGTGCATACTCAGACTCGGGTCGCAGAACACAGGGCAAGAAAGCCAACGCAAAGCCAAATCCTTTTGCCCACGGATATCCGGACTCTAGCGATGAAGATTCGGATTCAGATTCAGATATGATCAACAGCAGGAGCAAACACCGTGACCCGCCTCCTCCTCCACCGCCGCAGAACACAAGACCGCCTCCTCCAACCTGGGCAGAGAGCAATTTCGCGACCCCTGATCCAAAACGGCAGAGCAACGGCGCGGCGGGGAACATGCCCAACAGCTTCAAAAGCAGGAGTGAAGAAAGCATCAATATGAAGTTCTCGCCTTCGGACTGGCATGGCAAGTTCGAAGGCAGTGATAGTTACTTTGCTCCTAACATGCAAAAAGGTGCCAACGGGAAAGGCCGAGCCTCTCCAACCCGCGGTAGATCACAACGAAATGCAACGGATCGAAACCCGTTCAGCACACGGCCAATGCCGCCTCCAGTTTCGCCATTCGGGCAGCCGATACCTCCACCTCCTCCGGGGCCACCGCCTGGCATCAACTTCGCTCCGCCAAAGATGGCGCCCCACACTGCCAAGTTCAGTCCTCAAGACTGGCAAGAGACGTTCAAAGACCCGAACTGGGTATATACCGACGCGAAGGAGACATCGCCCCGTCGGCCATCAGAGGCTACAAAAAGGCCGAAGGCTGCACGAAAGGCATCTGTGCAACAGAATGGAGCTTCGAAGGCGCAGGAATCGACCGATGCGTCAAGGTCCAAGCACCAAGCCTTTGTTGAAGAGCCTGTCAACGGCGACGTAGATGCTATGGACATTGACTCCGGGCCACCATCAAACGCAAAGCCAGCTAAGAAAGGCACACGCACGGCGCCGTCGTCGCCGAAGCTGAACACATCGGGTGTAGGTGCCATGCCAAATGGCTCTGCTACCGCGCCTTCTTCCGCTTCTACCGCAAAACCGCCTGGTGGAGGACTGAACAGTCTCGGTCCAGACATGATAAATCCGGTTGTCCAGCCTCAAACTAACGGACTCTCTGGCATGGGCTCCCTTGTAGACGCAATCCCATTCCCATCCCAGGCTTCCAACTCACATCCCGTCAAAGCCAACGCTGCAAAGAACCTCAAGTATCCCGAAATACCTTATGCACCTGCCCCACCAGCCAAGGTAGATTTGGACTCTGCAAATTCCTATTTCGACCGCATGCGCACCTACGTCAAAGCATACCGAAACTACTGCAAGATCCTTACTGGTCACTTTGCCTCGCGAAGCAATGAGATGGAGGACCTAGACGATAACTTTATCCACAACCGTGGCGAGACAACGAGGAAACTTGGATTCGCAAGTTATCTGGCTAAGATGGAGGAAGACGAGAGTGTCATGGAGACATGGAAGCTTGCACAGGAACGCCACATTATTGCGCTGCAACAATGTGAGGATGTGCGGAACAAGACTATGAAGCTGTACCAGACCCTGCAGACCTGAGCTTTGTCATTTCAATTGCTTGGATCCAGTCTGCGGGTGTGCTGACATCGATTTAGCAAGAGCTTCTGTCAACGAGAAGACAGACGCCGCGACGTCGTTCAGAACATGGTCGAAGAGATGACGGGGTTTACGATCAAAGAGACGCGGTTTATGACTCCTGAGCATGCGGCATCTCCACGGAGGCGTACGTCTAGCTCTGTTCTCGGTATGAGGATCTCAAGTGCGCTGAGGACTTCCGCTTGTAGCAGCCCACCACCCAATTTGGATGGTGGTGATGATAGTATTGAGGTGTTGACAGCGAGAAGTGCGAAGAAGCCGAGGCCGTTGCTGGCAAGAAAGAAGAAGTATCATGTCCTTGTGTAGTAATGATGGCGTTTTCGGGCCGAGCATAAAATACCCACTTGAAGTCGTTGAATGTCTTCATGGTTGCGCAGGAGTATTCTTCTGGGGATCTTGGAATATAGATAACGCTTGTAATATGTATACTACTGAATGAAAGCTTTGGATACAGTCATCATCTGCGTACCATATTGCACGCCACGCCCTCCCGACAGTTTGCCATAGCCCGGGATCTCTAGGGCTGCATCTTGCGCGAACTTCCCGCGGTTGCAGCGCATGACGCCCGCACACCCGAGGCAGATTAGCACCAAAATGAACGCGCTTGTCCAGCGGAAGAATTGACGGCTAAACACCACGCCGAACTTTCATCATTCTCTTCATCCTTCGCGGACAAGACTGTACCGCCATTGAGCAACACTAAGTGGGATGACCCTCTTGGATTCAACTGCAAAGTGCTTGGCTGTAGGATAGCCGTCCCGCCGGGTAAATGTAGAGAGCCTGGTGCATCGTGGGGCTGAATACCCCTCCATACATAAGAACCCATGGGGAAGCCTACATATAATCATAGTACACTGCTGCCTTTTCCAGTTATCGTTCCAGATACAAGCAACTGAATACTTCACATCATGGCGGACAAAGAACCCATCGTCACACACGTTTTCACCGCCGACCCATCAGCCCACGTCTTCAATGGCAAGCTGTATGTCTACCCCTCGCACGATCGCGAGACAGACATCCAAGATAACGACAACGGCGACCAATATGACATGAACGATTACCACGTCTTCAGCATGGATGAAGTAGGTGGCCCAGTTACAGACCACGGCGTAGCCCTCAAGCAAGATGACATACCCTGGGTCCAAAAACAACTCTGGGCCCCTGATGCCGCCAGCAAGAACGGGAAATACTACCTCTTCTTCCCAGCCCGCGACAAGGAGGGTATCTTCCGCGTTGGTGTGGCCACCGGCGACAAACCCGAAGGACCATTCAAGCCAGAAGCCGAGCCCATAAAAGGCAGCTTCAGCATCGACCCCGCGTCTTTCGTCGACGAAGACGGCTCTGCGTACCTGTACTTTGGCGGCATCTGGGGCGGCCAATTGCAATGCTGGAAGACTGGAAAATTCATCCGCGAGGACTATGAAACCATGGAAGCGCAATCTGGCAATGCCCTCTGCGCAAAAGTAGCCAAGCTGTCAGACGACATGACTTCCTTCACCACCAACGTCCAGGACGTCGTTATTTTGGATGAATCCGGAAACCCCATTCAAGCCGCCGACCACGACAGACGGTTCTTCGAGGCCGCGTGGATGCACAAGTATAATGGGAAATACTACTTTTCGTATTCTACTGGTGATACGCATTTCTTGTGTTATGCGACGGGTGATAGTCCGTTGGGCCCGTTTACCTACGGAGGCAGGATCCTAGAGCCCGTCATTGGATGGACGACGCATCATAGTATCGCGGAGTTCAAGGGCAAGTGGTATTTGTTCTACCATGATTCGAGTCTGAGTAAGGGGGTCAACCATCTTCGATGTGTGAAGATTAGGGAGATTGTTTACGATGAGGCGGGGAAGATTAAGTTGGCGGAGAGTCAGCCCAAGGTCATGTAGGAGCATGTTGGTTAAGCTGATGTTGGACTATGATAGCGTAGTTACTTCCGACGAAAGCACCTCTTGATCCGCGCCAGATGCCATCTCTTGACACGACATTCCGTGGTATGCAGATTGAGTTCCTCTACTGACCTTACTTCCTCGTAGTATTGCTTTACGCTTCTCCACACCCAAAACACATTCATCTTCCTCTTTCGCTTCTCTATTCTCCTCATCTGAATCGCATTCAACCTTAACCTCATCTCCACAATCTCATGTGTGTCCTTGTACTCATTCTCTATGACATTAGCCCTCTGCCCATCTTCTTCTACAGTCTCGTTCTCTACATTCCTTTTCTTCTCCATTTCCTTCCTGAGCATCTCCTCTCTCCTCTTCTCCTGGGTCCTCCACAATACATCCATCGCCTCACACTCCGCCTCCCAAGCCCCCACGCCCAACAGCTCCATATTTCTCACAACCCACTGCACAAACCTGTGATCCGGTAGGTCGCAAAAAGGCGCAGGGAAGTCACCTTTCATCACTTTGGTATCGTAGAAAATTAGGCTAATTTCTTGTACGAGACCGCCTTTTAGGATCGGTTTCTTTTGGATGGGTCGTGAGGAGAAGGGGGGTGAAGCGGCTCTGGCGTGTTTAGTTTTACCTTCGAGTAACAAATCACCAGACTGAGGATATAAACTGGAACTTTTGTGTATCCACATTTCTTCCTGCGTACTGCTCTGCAGTCGCTCGCCTGGAAGTAGACCTCTGGGATCGGTGGTGTAATGCGCGCCCATATTGACTTCCCTTGAGCTTCGGTAGCGTGGGACGTTTGTGCGGCGGTAGTGCCGCTTACCGCGTTCTGCGCAGATTGACGGCGATAGGGGACTTGTTGTCCATTCGGGGTCGCGAGGGGTAAAGAGGTCGGTGGTGATGGAGGAGTAGATGTTGGAGAGAGCTTTAGCGTGGAGGGGAGAGATGGAGAACTCTGGGGTAACAAGGTAGTGGGTGTTAGGAAGGATGATTACAGGTTGGTTGGCTTTGATGATGATGGTTGACATTGTGGGCGGTGGTGTCGTGGTAATTCGCACGGTTGGTATATTTTATTGATTTGGTCGATGTGCTGATCATAAGATGCAGGCACAACGCTGTTAAATCACAATGTATTGTATCGCAGTGGAAGTGTGTTCCCACGGTTGGTATATTCTGCTTTGCTGATAAGATTTTAGGATGACAGGATGAGAATAAGGTCGAGGTGGCTAAATGTTTTTAGATTACACATAAAGAATGGAGTTTGGGAATGTGACATATGCTCATGCCGTCCCATGGTTGCAATAAGTGGATTGCCCTGCCATGCCCTCAGATCTCAGACCCTCCATTGATGTCAGAGATCAACACGCGAATGCGCCCCTGTTAGGGCACAAGGTCGAGGACGACAGTATGAATGAAGGCTTGTTGGGAAGGAGCACACATCACTTCCACGAGTGGCCTCTCTCATCCAGCTTGGCTGAGTCTACCATGAGGACCTCTATAGTACGCTACACGCTCTACCCATCTACCCCAACAACTCTTCAGAATATTCCCAATCACCTGCTCGAGCGTCACTCTTGTAGTTGTCTGTCTGATGTAACAGTTCGCCGCCAGCCAACCAAGAACTTATGAATGACTCCAAATTGTACCGGCTTTATCAATTTCAATAACCACTATCCCCTTCACATACGACCATAGGACACTGAAAATTAGGCTTCCCGTCCGCTCAGCCATATACAAGCAGTGTACCGGCGGATTAGTAGTTAGGTGGGTGACCACTAGCGAATCCCCGCTGTTGTATGTTTTTGACATTTTTGCACATCCCATCTCATGTTCAGGCCCCACACACAGCAGTTGACCCAACGGCGCGTCCCGCCGTCGACACAAGACATACTCTGACTTGTACAACGCATACCTTGGAGCATTTCTGACTTTATCCATGAGGAACGAGAATGCGAAAGAGGAGACCGGTCTTTAGTCGAATCTGATTCGGTGATTGATGGAAGTGAAAAAAAAAAGATATGGGTAAGTAGGACAACGTTACCATACTCTAAAGCCCTCCCAAATATGCGCCTGAAGATGCTTCCAAATCGCATCCAGCGAAGAAACCGCCCAAACAAAAGAAATGAAGACCTGGTATATAACAGAAAAATCCACTAACAATACCTCACACACTCCTCCCCAATGTCCCATCTTTTCTTCCTCCTCTCAACTGGCTTCCCACCTTCAACTTGAGTCCCCTGAAGCTCCTTCAACCTCTCAAAGTCAATCTTCTCTTTCTGCGCTTTCTCCTCCTTCTCCTTCTCCTCATTCTCCATCTTCATCAGCTCCATAATGTCCTTAAGTCTTGCTTCCTCTTTCTGTTTCAGAAATTCGTCTTGCTCGTTGAGACGGCCCTGCTCATTGTCTTGCTCCATCTCGTGCAACCACACACCCTTGCCGTCTTGGAAAATTTGTTGCAGTTGTGGCAAGGTTCCACATACGCCGTCGACTTCGCCCCAGGGGTACCAGATCTGCTCGGCTTCAGTCCATATACCGCCTCGTCCTCCACGGTTGTCCCAGTAGCGGTCGCCGCCTACGAGGTGGTTGTGGTATCCGTTCGGAGACTGAGGGGCGCGGAAATAATTTCTCAACATTGCACGTTCATGTCCTGCATACCACAAATTATCCCAGTTAACGTTTGCGATTGGCGGACGCTCGCCACTAGAGGGTGAAGAACTGCTCAGAATGATGGCGGGTACGGAACCGGAGTATGTGTTCTGTATTAGAGGAACGCCTTCCCAGGGCAGCTTGCGGCTTGGCAGGCCATCGAGTTCCAGGGTAAACTCTAGATTGTCAATGTATGCTGGTTTCTCGTTGGGAGAAGGGTTGTGTTCGACAAAGTCTGGGCGCCAGAATGGAGGCTTGGTCTCGTTGAGAGCAGTTGGAAGGGAAAGATACTGGCTGTTCGAGTCGAAGCGACTGTACTGCGACAAGTCGGACGAGTCATCGTGCAAAAGAGGAACGAGTTCGTCTTCGACGCAGTACTCCAAAGGTTGGAAGAGCGCATGGGTATAGTCCAATCCGATGGAAAACTCGTGTCGTGTAGTATTCGAGAGCTCGGCGTTCGCTCGCTCCAGTCTTCGCTCAGCTTCCGACTTGCTTGCTCTACCGGTTATGAAGTCTTTGACCTTGGCACTGGTATGCTTCGAAGCAACTTCCTCGGCATCTCTTCTTAGCTGTTGCTCAGCGAACAGGGTCGCGAAGACAGACTGAACCGTCTGCGATTGACTTCTAGCCTCCATGAACTTCTCTAGTGCAGCTTGATACAGTATCTTCAAGTCGCTCGCTGGGCCCATGACCATTTTTGAATGGATAAACTTCGCTGGGGTATCAGATATGCGACGACCGTTCTCCGTTCCGTATGTGTTGTCCGGTAATATCGACTGCGGCACGTACTTGCAGGCCATATCGTCGCTTTCGCACATCTTCTCTGCGCCAAATACGATTGTCTGGTTGAACTTCTGGTAGCCATCCTTGTCAACGCCATACTTCTTCAGCAGCCGCATGTTCGCATCTGCCAACAGCCTCTTGTATTCGGTGACTATCACATCGCTTGGCAGCTGGAACCATGATTGCTGGCCGTCCACGATGAGTATCAAATCTTGGTCCTTCACCAGCTTCTCATTACTCAGGTAGTGAAGTGTGCTGTTCAATATGCCCCTCTCCCATTTGATGTCCGAGTCATATGGGGTATATAGCTGAACTGCAGTCGGCGGAGGGTAGTTGAGAAGCATAGCAGACAGGGTCGTTTTGCAGAAGCCATCTGTGTCGCGCTCGGATGGCATGAGGAGGTGGAAGTTCGCAGTCGTTTTCTTGAGCTTTGGTGGAACGTGGTCGAGCTCACCGTTCTCGATTTGCAGCGTCGTATTCGAGGGGGTCTTGAAGGGCGAGTGCACGATATCGGGCAAAGTTGGAAGGTACGGTCGCCATGGATAGTAGGAGGAAAAGCTCTGGTATTGCGAAGATATGGTCTGAGAAAAGTTAGCCTGAACCTGAAAAGTGACAGTCAGTTGCAGCGGGGCACGTCTCGCATCTGCTCAGCGCGCGCTCTCTCTCTGATATCGGAATGAACCAAACGCACCTCATGATGCCTCATACCAGTCAATCCCAGCAGAATGGTGAGAAGCGTGATCGTCAAGACCATCATCCTCCCTCGACGCGTGCAAGCCCACTGTACCGCCGCATTTCCAAACTCCTTGGTCGACTGTGTAGGAGACATTGGCATGGCCAGCATCGCATCGCCTGCCATGATGAATTGTGTGATAACAGAAGGAGCAATGCCTCAGGCTGTTCCTCCCTCGCTCAAAACGGGCATCGGTGATACGTCGTACCGTTGTATGTCAGGTACGATGCACGATCTGCCTCTCCTCTGTATCCCCCTCCGTGTCCCTGCATCGCAACGCCGGGGTCTCAGTCGTCGTCAGACGTCACGGTCCGATCATGAACGCGCGTAGTCTCCGCCAAGTTGCGGTGCTCTGTTTCGAAACATTGGGTAGCCATGTTGCGCGCGCGAACAGTGCAGAACTCGAAATCGACGAAGCCATAGTAAATGTGGACTTGGTAGTAACATCACATTCCTCAATGGGAAGTAGAGCTGGAGACACAGCCAGCCATTGATGGTTTGATGGGTGTATCCTAGTCTATCGTGACGCGTCGCTAAGCCTAATATGGATTAGAGGCGGAGCCGCTTCGGCTGTCTTTGCGCTACAGATCAGATAGATCATCAAGCGTTTCGTCATTATTGCTAGCGTTCGCATGTGGAGTTTGTGAAGATCCAACTATTTTTGCGACATTTTCCTGAAAAATCGTGGTAGACTAAACGTGCTTCCAAGTTGGTTGCATGTACACTCTCCGAAGGGGGTCGGGCGCGGCTTGCAGCTAGCCTCTACAAAGATCCATTATGGCTGACAAAAGGGGCGATCCGAACTGATGTACAACATTTGTGGAGAATTGTGCGACAACTATATCACACCGGCTTGCGTTACGACGGAAGATCGTTACTTCGTCTTTTCAGAAGCCAGCGATATACCGATGCTTATCTGTGACCTCCGTAACCTCGAACTTCATTCCGACCCTGAGATCCCCGACCGTCTTCGGCACAGCCAGCATACCATAGCATGGCTTGTATGTAATTCCCTCGTCGATCCTCCGGTACTTCATCAGCGCATCCCAGGGTTGCGTCTTGTGCTTCTCTGCCGAATCAGGATGTACGTTTGGTACCTGGCAGCGCGCGCATCGCTGGGTGATGTCCAGGACAATGGGGTTTTCACCAGCCTTGGGCGTGATCTTGACAGTCTTCCAGCGATCTTCGTCCCAGGGAGCGTTGACATCGCCTTTGACGAGAATGTTAGGTCTAAATCGGCGGACATCGATGGTGAGGTCCTCTGCGGCCTTGAGGCGTGTGTTGAGTTCGTCGATACTGCTTTGATTACCGACTAACACGGGCATCAGGTCAGGGAAACAAGTCGATGCGTCTCTGCCTAAGACCTTTGGTGCACCGTTCGATACGAGAGGCCTGGGGTCATCGGAAACCGGGGGCTTGTAGACGAGTCGCACCTCCTTGTCGAAGAATTTGTTGAATGGGCCGGTCATTTCAGTAGAGTACACGCGAGTTCCTGTCGTAGTACTCCATATCTTTGCCGAGTGCTCCTCGGTATTCTGATCGAGCCATTCCTTCGACGGGTGAGCGGGGATGGAGAACTCCAGCTTCTCATCAATGGAATCTGGTGCTGGTGCAGTGACGGTAAGAGTATCAGTCTTCTCGTCGTATGTCGGCCGGATGAGTGTCATCTTGGAGTTTTGACGGATCGTTAGGAACTCATAATTCGGGTAGCTCACCCACATCCACTGTCGATCTGGCTCTGTCAGCATAAAACAGTCCTTTGGAAGCTGATTAGGAAGGCGCACCGAGGTCGAGGCCGGTTGGCAAGAGCTTCGCTGACTTCACAGACAAACCATGGCATGATTTGATCGGGTGTATGAAGAGGCCTGTGATTTCAGTCGCAGGTGGCAGAGGGCCAGCGGTACTCTTTACTTGCTCAACCTTGTTGAAGTAAAGATATGTGAGAATTGGTAAAATGAATATAGGTAGTATAACCGCAATCTGCGTGGTGGCTGCGAGTGCCATATTTGTGGTACCGTTGAATGCCCAAAGACAAGAGGCTTCGCAAGCCTTCAGCTAAGTTGATCAATAACAGCTGTGCTTTGTGAGATCTTGTGGATGCAAACTACGAGCTTTTCTTCCTTTGTCAAACCGTACTCATCTGGTTGTGGCTATAGGGCGTGGTATGACAAGTCTGAGTCAGCGATTCAGTCCAGAGCAACACCAGAGCAAAATTCCTGCCTAATCGAGTGACGCAGCGGAATTTATAGCTAGAAGTGACAGTTCACGAGAATGACGCAAAGGGCGGGGAAAGTGTTCGCTACCAAAATGAGCTAGCGCTGCCGAAATCGCGTCTGCGGCGCTCCGCGGCAGTCGTGCATCGCGTTCTCGCGACCGCGTCAACGATATGCAACCCTTCCAACGTATATCCTCCATCTCACTTTGTACTTTCAGATCGCGTCCGCTTAAATAGCATGTTAAAGCCTTCTCCCATCATCTCAGATAGCGAGAGCTGCTCACGGCCCCGCTTCTTAGTCGCTCGCCCGCTATTCAACGCCTCGATTTCTGCTTCCAACTGGACACAATACGCGTCCAACTCCTCCGTTTCCTTCGCATTCATCTCTAACTCGTTCAAGCGACGGAGTAGCCTGAGATTGGTTTCCATACGAAGCATGCATTTCTTCTCGGCATCATCAGCGCGTTGTTTCTCTTTCTCCAGCTCGAACTGGGCATCGTGCATAGCCCTCCTCCGCAAGCCTTCAGTTGCTTCGTACTCTTTGAGATCCGCCTGCGCGCTCACAAGCTGAGACTCTTTGTCGAAGAGCTCTCCACGCAGCCGGTCAGCCTCTCGTTTGATCTCCACACACTTCTTCTTTGTACAGGAGACGCGCTTCAGAGCTCTGATGCCTAGTGTTGGAGATGCGCTCTCCGGTTGTTCATGATAATCTGGGGGAGTGCCACAATCAATTGCACTATCTGGGACGTCATCCTCCCACTCTTCGCGCATGGTGTGTGGTGTAGACGGCGCAACCAGGGTAGTCGCCATGTATGCCCGATACTCTCCTCCAGTCATCCCGATTTTCTCTTTCGGCTCGTCGAGCTTGTCGTAATTGAACGGAAAACGCCGGTGCAAAGAGCCATTTACAGAGGCAGCAACGTCCCGCTCTTCGGGGGAGTACATATCTTCGTATCGCTTCATCGCCTCTCGTTGGTAAGCGACACCTGTCGGCAGATCTGGATAGCCCTGGTACGGACAATGTTTCTCTATCGTTGATAGAGTAACATATGGCCAAGTCTTCGGATCTTTGTTGTTGTAGGTAGGGAAGACGCGCTTGATGTTTTCGTATAGTCTTGAAGAGGTGAAACTGAACGTTCCATCGTAGTGCGGTAGAACTGCCAGAACTGCCATGCTGTGTTCTGGTCTTGTCAGCCACTTCTGCTGCGCTGATTCGTATGTTTTGTACACCTTAAAGGATACTCAAGGGTAGCAGAGAGTGGGTTGCTGCGACTGCTGCTGCTGAGAAGAGTTAAAGGACGGATTGTTATCAGGTGAGTCTCTCCAGACCTCCTCATGCCGTTACTCATGTCTAGAGTGCTCACCGCGAGACGGTAAACGCTCCCCTCTCACCTTCACCCCACCCCGACTTCACCACAGGCTGCTATTAGTCCTTGAGAATAGCTCCTGTATAGGGCGCAATTAAGAGCAGATGAAGGCATTTGGAGAAGCATACACGAGTGGTTGATGAATCGTGCACTTAACAGAGGTTTTGGTACGAAAGTGAACAAAGGGACTGTCTTCGTTCGTCTAACAGAGTAAGTGTGATAATGTCTGATCTAAGAAGTAGTTTCGCAACAACTGAACGCTAACTATAGTTTGCTTGCATCGAGCTTCTAATATGGCACAACTAGAGACCACTTCCAGCTCCAGGAAATCTGTCAAATAGCGTCGCATCGTATTTTACGAGCTCAGGACATCCAAGTGTCTGGAGTATCGGGTTCAAAGCGTCTGTCAAGTGCTGAACAGCCTTTACAATATTTCCGAGAAGGCCCCTCAGAATGTCTGGAGAAGCTACTTGAGCAGCGGTGAATGCAAGACACATAGCATTGTTTCCCTCGAGCAGTGTCTGCGCGTTGAAAACGTTGCCTGTCAAATCGTCGACATCAACACCCACAAAAGTATTCGGCTGACCCGTGTTGCCACCGACTCTGACCAGTTCAGGGTATTTCGTGATTGCATCAACAGCGTCAAGGTCGAGGCCTAAGATTCCATAGTCGTCACCAATGGCGCGGCGATACCAGTTCTCTGGAATTCTCTCTTGTCCTGAAGCCCACTTGTAGTTGCCCTGTTCTCCGGTAATGCCCTCGAATGATTTGAGTGTGTTGACATCTGTGGATGTGGAAATACATGGTCAGTGTATGTCTCGCATGCATCTCGTAGAGTCATAACTTACCTAGATAACCCTCGGGGTACTCAGCACTGTGGTTGGCAAAGAAACGGTACGTGAAATAGAAGGCTGCAGAGTTGACAGCAAGATGTGTAAGAGGGCCAGCGAAAAAGTGTCCGTTAGTAGCGATCGATTGTTTGGTGCGCTCGACTCGGAACGGGAATATGACTGAGAGATCGATACCGTTCGGACCGAGGGGCATGGCCACAAGCTCCTCGAACTGGGACAGATTGACTGACGCTGGGTCTCCGGTAACGTACTCGTCGGATCGCGTGGGTGATGCATCGCATTCGAAGCGGTTGTGCGATCCAGTCAGACCTTGCGGCTTCCCAAGAAGACCAATTGAGGAGGTAACTCCTCCTAACAACCCACTCTTCGGCGCGCCTCCAATCGAGACCGACGCGACATCTCCATCCATAACAGCAGCATAAACTGACAAGAATCCGGATAGATCGAGACCCATGCCGAAGACTGGTATGGTGTCAGATAAGGGCACGTAACATATCGGATCATGTCATACCTTCGTTAGACGCCGTAGTCAATTCCACGATTGAACTCACGCCGGAGCGGGAGATGTAGCCATGGTTCGCCATGGCGTTTAAACCAGGACAAGGTCCACGGAGGTCATTTGGGCCTGGTGCAATCTGCGAACGGTCTGGTCAGCATTTGGAAGACGATCTCTCTCGTAAAAGATGGCGTACATATTGGTGGTCACCAGAGGTGCTGATGCGCTGAGCATCAGCATTGAATCCACGTTTTACATTGCTGGCATCAGGCCTCTCCTCGGCAGCTCGTTTTATCTTTGCCGCCAAAACAGCGATGTCCGCGAGCGTGTCATCGCTAATGTCATTGCTGAGCAAGTTGGCCGGGAAGGCAAAGGTCGCCAAAGAGAAAAGCGTTGCGCTGCAAAGCAATGATGCCTTCATGATTGCGAAAATCCAATACCGATAAAGGAGTGACAGTAAGGGAGATTTGACGTTGGGATCGCCAAGCCTAAGCACTGAGTTTCGTGTGGGATTATATGTATTTCCCTGATGGCAAACGAACTTGGCTTCGCGCGCGTAGACGTACAACTCTGGTTGACTAGCGTCGTGGCTACTGCAGGTGGAGCGAGGTTAAGGGTCTTGTTTGCTCAGGAGGTTAAGGCTAACATGGAAATCTCCATGATCGACGCATCATCAGCCCTCTTATGATTGGAGAGTCGAACGCGGTTTCACTGTGCGCCTTGAATACTACGGATAAAAGCAGTGCACTAATGGATGAAGGTTATCAATGATGTCGAGCCAGGTCTAAGCCATTCCCGACACTAGCGACTCGTGCCGCAGATCGACGCACATGGCCGAATCCCTGAATCACATCTAAATAAATTGCCACTTCCTCGCCCTCTCTGCCTATGATAGAATGACTCGCATCGGATATATTCGCAGGTATACCAGACCTAGGAGGATCAGCAGGTCACTTCTGCTTTGAGTAATGGCATCTCTACGAGTCAATGGCCACATGACGAACTGATATGGCTTCCACATTCCGCCCGGGCAGCTCTCCAAGTTGCGATTCACACACTAATGGCGTCATCTTCCTTCGCATTGCGTACTGAACGATTGCCCGTACAAGAATGTTACATTGCTTTCCTACCTAGGTACTGACGGTTTGCTCTTCACATCAGACGCGCTCTACTCGTCTCACAGAGGCCATTGCGGCACTCTCTGCTCTTTCGCTTCTGATATAGACACTGGAGTTGCGGCTGAGACCCGGCCAGTATCCTCATCAACAATTAGATCGTCCAGCTCTAAGTAACCTTTGCCGTGGCTTTTCATCAGTGATTCGTCCCCGCACAAGGTCACTGATAGGTCGGTCGGCCTCTTGCTTGACTGCTTCCACCCCCCTGAGCTCAATACCTGGCTCGAATTTGTTCTTGATTTGCTTCGGCCGGACGTGTTGTAGCCCTCGATGGCTGTGTTGACCACTCCCTTGAGAACGACGCGGAGTACGGGTATCGACGTGGCTACGATCGCCATAGCTGCTTCTGCTGACGCCCAGATGATGGAAGTGTACGAGTCGTCTGTTTCTGTCAATAATGATCATGACGAGACCTTGGGCAGCCTTACAAGATGTATCCAGCACGGCCAATTTCTCGATATAGTGGGCTCTAACAATAGCAATAGCTCCCGCACTTCATTCATGTCAGTACAACTCTAAAGCCAAGCAAAATGGAGACCTACAAGACACCTAAGCTCATGGCCATACCAACTCCTATCTTTTCTGCGGTACGCATCTGGACGTTCCACAGAATTTTCCAGGGTAGCAAGGCAAGAGACACATCCATCATTGCAGACCATACTAAGGATCAAGTCAGTTCCATACTCCTAGAGCATGTGCAACGAACGTCGTACTCACTGGCTTGGAAGTTTCCGTATCTTACAGAGGGCCTCTTGTCGACACATGTGCCAGGGAGGATATCGAGAAAGGTCTTAGCAATGGGCTTGCATTGTGTCCAGGGGACAGTAGCGGCCGGGATCGCGAACACCGCCAGGGTTGTGATAGCAAAGCATACGTAATATCTAGTCCAACCGCTGGTCAATCGAAGCAAGGTGACTCCAAAGGAAATTTTGCTCAGCGTAATTGCGATAATGGATATCGTGAGCTCGGAAGCACCATAGTATATCATGGTATTGAAATTTGACAGGTTGACTACGCGAAGAGTTAGAAACTGTGCACTCCATAAGGCCTCTATGGCAATGTCCTACCGTCGAGCGCATGCCTTCCGTAACCTAGATTGATGGCGAGTTGATTCAGAATAACCTGAACAAGGAGCAAGGTCTGCAATCCGTGAGTCTCACGTGTGTATGTCGGTTAATCTTTACTTACCCAGCTGAGCCCAAGCAAAAGGTCATCAATCCATAATCTTCTTTGGCTTTTCTGGATAATAAGCCTCACAATCAGAAAGGCCCCAGAAACCCCTACAAGGCACCATGTCGCAATGCTCATCAATGGCCCATTATCTTCAGCTGGGTTGCTCTTCAAGTTCTCGAGCTGAGTCGACATTTTGGATGTTTGAAGACGGGGATGGATTGAAAAAGATTGAAAGATCCCAGTCTCCCGGACGAGTTCAACTTGTCAGTGAAGGCGAAAAAATGTCCCAGCTCACAAGGACTAGTCTTGAACGTGAGATAAGGATAAGTTGTATATGTAACGGCAAGGCGGGTAATGCCATGTTTGGTCTAAGTTAGAGGGCTGGCTAGTGCCTGATGTCCTCACAAACACTGATCGTCCGGGCAGCAACTGCCCGAGACAGTGGTAAGATTTGGCCTCGTCTCGAATGCCTAATTCGTGATCATGTTCCTAAATATGCATCTACGTTACTTCGCCGCTGCATGGTGAATCACATATGGGTATGTCTGCTGTCAACCCAAACTTTCGGTATTTTTGAGGCGGACCGCACACACCTTATGACACTTCCCAGATGAAGTTCCTGCACAATGTTATAGGAATGTTCGTTACGATGTCTATCAATCTACTCTATTTTCAGGAGCAAACCTGTTCTAGTGGAGGGTCTGAAGCAGGAAGCCATGCCGATTTTCGTTATCGTCTCAGTGTAGACGTTTCATTAAGAAGATTATAGACCGAAAAATATATGGGTACCGTGTCACCGGCAAACGTGGTAGTTCCCCTCTACTAGTTGTTCACGGAAAGCGTAATAATTTATTTCCTACCTAGGTAGAATGTAGAATCAGACGCGAAAGACGTTTAAGGGTCTTTGCTTGTTGGAGTGAACAACGGGCTGTGGGGAGATCATCCTTACTTATGCATTCCAAGGTTTAGATCGCGCGCTAACAACGGGTTTGTGAAACCCGGAGGGCTTAACCTTGGCAGAACAGATACAGCGAATCGCACCATGCTTCCTGCTTCTAGCGTAGAGTCACGGAACTTTGTAGCCGCAAGCTACGGTAATTTAGCTTCTGTC